TGCAGGCGGCCCCCGCCCCATTGGAGCAGCCTTGAGGCGGCGGAGAACCTTACCCAGATCCCCGACTCCAACCCACACCTTGGTAGAGCCTGCCCTGGGTGACTCTCCTGGGTGGAAACCCAAGCTCCTTAGAGCTGTCTTGTGATGCTGAAGCATTTGGGGCGCCTGGTGGGCTTTGGGGTCGTTGCTTCTTACTGAGCCACTCCCTCAACAATCTGTTTCTACCCTTTCCCACTCCAGGTCTGCCTACGTCTCTGAATAGGAAAAGTTACAATTCTTATTAGCTGTGTGACCTTGGAAAAGTTACTCCATATCTCTGAGGCTAGTCTCATTGATGGAAGGGCCATAATAGTAGCTGCTCAAGGTGCTGTAAAATTTTATCGTTGTAACCCAAGGATAGGGCTCAGTACACAGCAAGTGCTTAATAAACATTCACTATATTTTCTGCATATCCACACTGATGACATCTGCAAAGCCCTCTGCCCATACCTTTGATCCCTTATGACTTCATAGCATTAGAGATGCGAACACACTCTCATGATGCAATCTACTCCAGGTCATACTGGAAAAGAGCGTGGTGGTCAGCCAGGCTCCCAAGTGTGCACCAACTGCTATGTCCAAAGCCTCTCTCCATCACAGGCAGGAATCCTTGAGGCAGAAGCTGCAAGTCACCTATACCAGGACCTGCTGCCTGAAGAGCTTGTTAAAGATGAATATCCCCCACCCCCAATTCCCAAATGAAGATCACAGCAACCCTAAGCCTAGATTTCAGGCAGCCCTGGAAATGGCACAGAGAAACAGGCTCCCTAGGTGACTAGGGGCCCATTCAGGCCAAGGGCCACTATTACCAGTCTTCTGAGTACATGTTCCTACCCCACTGAAGGGCTTGCCATGGCTCAAGAGTTGAGAGACACACCCAAATTTTCAGTTCTCTTCCTGCTTCACCTTCCTCCCCCAACCCCCTTGTTCAGCACAAGGAAGGACACTGAAAATCTTCCAAACAGACAGCAAAGAGAGCAAGCAAATGAGGAAGCAAGAGTGGTTGTTTAAAAAGACTTTGATTTTATTTTGTGATTTGTGTCAAACTGCCTCATTCAGTGCAGGTGACCCCTTCTCCCCAGGAAACAAGAATTGGGAGGTGGGGTCTTTTGTGAAGTCATGGCACCCACAAGGCCACAGGAAAACCCCAGAGTTCTGAGAGTTGCTGGGAATCCTGGCCAAGACTGTGGTAGGCGGGAGGCAGTGAAAAGACAGGGTGATGGTCACCAGTCAAGAGGCTAGGAAAACCCTGTCCAAGGCCCTGCTCAGCTTTGGGGCTGCTATATAAGTGACAGAGACGGGTAGTGAGATTTCCCCTGCCCTCAAAGTACCCCTTTGGCCAGGCATGGCTTTGATTCCACTAAGGGCTCAGCTGAGAGGAGCAGGAAACTGTCATGGGCTGGCTGCTTCACAAGGTACTGCTGCTAGTGCCCCGGAGTCCAACACCACGGGCAAACTGCTCCAGCAGGCCCCCAATGGCACCAGAGGGACTAGGGGCTACTGCCCGAAGCCCTACTGTGCTGCTGTATGCGGCCAAGAAGGCAGAGCGCACCTCCTGTAGGCGAGTCTCCCGGTCGCTCAGGGCTGCAAGCCTATGGGGAAGGAGGGAGAGAAAGAATGAAGGCATTACTCTGGGATATGAGCCAGCATCCTCATCCTCACTCCACCCTGCCTATCCTTGTGCTTCTGACTGCACTGCACCAGCATCTGTCCTGTGGCCACAGCATCTCTCTTTGTGGTTCAGGCCCCCAATATTTGGTCCTGTTCCTCCCTTAAACCATTCCTCCCAGCCTTCAGGCCACTGTTCTCACCTGGAGAGCAAACTTTTGTTGGGGCACTGATCTTCCTGTTGGGAAAATAACTATCTCTGTAATGACTGGAGAAGGGGGAAAAGTTAAGCAGGAGAGAACAAGCCAATAGCTTTCAACTTCCATTCCTCAGTAAGAACAAGTGGAAGCATGATGTCTTTTACCTAGTAGTGAGACCCCCAAGATCTGGCAGCAGACCTTGGCTTGGGAAAGGCATCAGTCATCTTGAGGCTGCGACCTGATGCATCTTGGGAGGAAGCTCTTGCCCTGGAAGAACCCACTGACTGCTCCGGTGAGGCCAGGGTCCCCCACTGGAAACCTCTGAGGCTCTAGCTCCAACTTTAGTCACTGTGGTTCCCTGTGGACTTTTTCAGCAGGATCTGTGTTCTTATTCTATAATTTCCTCCCCTAGGCTCTATAGGGACTGATCACAGATGAAAGCCCTCTTCTCTCCTTGCCCTGGAATTATAAGGGAAATAAGTGCACACAAACTCAGGCTTATTCAAAGCGTGAATTCCACATGAGGCTGTCCAACACTCTGAAGAGCCCCTTTAATAGAAGAAGCCCAATGTATCAGCTACATGCAACCGCTGGACTCAAAGGTCAAGTAGTCATGGTGTTCCCCCGATCCTCTGGAGGGCACTTTCTAGGGGTCACAGACCCACATGAGATGAGCCCTCACATTCTCACTTACCTATTCACTAAGACTAGCCATGACCACTATCTTCCTCCAAATTTCCCCCAATACATCAATCTCTGGGTAATCTCTCCCTAGAGATCTGTCAGGCAGCAGAAATGTACCTAAGTCCAAATGATACACACCCCAGGGCTTTGGGGAGCAGACAGAGATCTGAGGATAAATGACAGTCCTGGGGTAAGTATGGGGAGACAGAATCCTCAGGAAAGTAGACTGGTGGGAGTGATATGTGAAAGAAGTAGCAGGCTCTGGGGCAAAGAAAAGTCAAATAGCTTCCACAGCAGTACTAAGATGGAACTGACACTGGACTCCTGCAATACTATGAATAACCTTGAAGTGTCTCCTGGCATTTGGGAAAGATGTGTGGCCCTAAAGCTTCTTTACTTTCTGATTAGGTTTAACACAGGGCAGAGGCCATGTGCACTGCTCTCAGATTCTCCTTATGGCATAAGTGGGAGAAACAGACAACTGGTTTGTATTCACAGGAAAAGCCAAAGATTCAAACACGATCATTCTCATTGCCCCTGCTCTCCCATTTCTGAAAGGCAGGAGCAGAGATGATAACCCATTTAGAGACAAGAAAACTAGAGAGAACACATGCCCCATCTGAGAACACACAGCGGCAGTAAGGTACCATTGTGCCATTCCTTCTCAAGAGATGAGCCAACAAGCTCAGAAAAGTCAAGGTTGACACCCCAAGACACAGCTGGTAAGCAGAGCGATTAAGTGTTGGGAGTAAGTTTCTCTGATAACAAAGCCTAAGTGCTGAACCCGCATGGCGTGTGACTTCACCAGGAATTGACCCTGACCCTACCCTGCAATCTTGGAGGCCTTGAGATCATGCAGAATCCAGCCTTCACTCTGGGAACCTCCCAGAACTGGAGGGTTGACTAGAAGCTTAGAGTGCTGCCTGGGACCTAAATGAAGGTTCTGGGCTGGGTGATCTGGGGCTGGAGTTGTCTGTTCAAGTAAGGGGTGCTTTCTGTGCTTCCTCCAGAGATGGCGCTTTGGCAAATTTGGCTGAAGTAGGAAGTCCCTGTAGAAAGATACAAACTTTTATTTTGTTCTTCAAAAATCTAAGAGATCATGCTTCTGGCCCCGGGGCCTGGCTGCAGAGGAGGTTGTGCTAGGCACAGTGGCCTCAGAAGCCCTCTGGTGACCTCTTAGCTGCATGGCCAGCCTGTGCAAACCTGGAATTCCAAGGTCTGGCTGACCTATCTACCCTTAGCTGGGATCCAGAGCCCCTTTTCCTTCCCAGCTCCCCAAGGCTCTTGCCTCCAACCTGGTGGATATAGGCTGGATTCTGTCGCTGGCGATGGGGATGAATCCCTGGCCATTTGAAGTTCATCTGGCCCATGGTGTGGAGGTAAAGGGTAGACTTACTGAGGGGCCCCCTCAGGCACCACATCTGAGGAGCAGGCCACTGGAGACTTTTTTCTACCTGACATCCATGAAGCAGCAAACCAGGCAGGGGGCAGGAGGCTTCCCCAGAGGTAGCTGCTCAAGTCAGGCAGATGTACTACAAGAGTTGGAAGCCGAGTATTGTAGCCTTGGAAGAAGAGGGTGGTATAGGTGTGGGACCTAGTATTCCCGTCCAATTTTCTTTCCTGCCCAGAGGCAAAAGCAGAAGATAAAGAGGGCAGGGACAGCAAGTAACCCGTGGTTCTGCTTAGGAGAAGCACAGCCTCATGCTGACAAAGCGCCATTCTGGCTCTGGCCTTCACTAAAACACCTACCTTCACTGTCCCACTGTTCTATCTTCAAAGGATTCTCTTATCAGGCAAAGGCTTGTACAGAAATAGCATCTTCTATACAGTCCAGCCAGCTTTCCCTTAGGGTATACCCAACACCCGTGGATGGGTGTTAGAAGCTCGGGGGAGTGAACACACACCCCAGTGTGCTTCCTGATTAGCCCACAGGCCTCCTTCATACCTCAGGGGTCCAGCAGCTGAGACAGAGGGGGAGGAGGAGGGGCAGGGATCCCAAGCCAGCTCCCTAGCCTTTGCCTCATTCCTAATCAGCACTCCTGATTGCTCACCAGCTTTTTATACAGGCAGGGAGCATCCTGCCTTCTCAAGACACTTACAGACAACTGTTAGGGAGCTCATCCGGGAAGCTGAAAGGGAGAGAGGAGTCTGTGTGCACGACAGCCCGTTCCTGAATACTGCCACAGCCTGTGACCATCTGCCAGCTGCCAAAGTCTGTGGAGAGAGAGGATCCGGGCAGGGGATGGTCCACTGATCTGGGGCAGAGAGGAGAGAGAGGGGAGATGATGCAGTCAGTCATATGCCTGACAGGGAGGCCCTGGAGGGGGTTGGGGACTATTAAGGCTGCTAGGTTCTGCTGTCAACTACTTTCTCAAAGAAAAAAAAGGCTAGATAAATTGCGACCCAAGAAAGAAGAGTAGACCATAAGATAGGCTCTAGGCTG